TATCTGCAGCAAACTGACATGCGAACAAGCCAACAAGGGGCTGATAACAGTGTTTATCACCTCATCAGCAAAACAATGGCCTCTCTCCATTAGTTCAAACAGCTTCTTAAACAGCTTGACAGCTGACCTGTTCATTAGCTCCAAAAAGCCCTAAGCAGTCATTCTGTCTGCTGATCCCAGTGAAATTGGAGATACTCACACACAAAGACACCGCTCAGCTTCAGCTAGCATACCACATGCCTGGGTCCATGGGGCTGGGGTCCATGCTGTGGGAAATGGGAGGGAGGGATGGGGGGCTTCCTGCTTGACCAGTAAGCAGCAATGGGGGCAGTAGGGCACAGACAAGCCAGGGAGACCCTGCTATATCTGCAGTCTTTGCCAGAGCTCCAGTCAGGGAGCAGAGGGAAGGGGCCAGCCCTGCTGTGGAGCAAAGAGCCCTGATCAGGCCAGAGAGCATGCCAGGATGCTGGGGGAGTCTGGTTTATCTTAAACCAGCAAGGGGTCTGGGACAGACATTGCATAAACCGGTTTGACCCAAATCAGTTAAATCTGATACTATATTCAACCATGTTTATCTCAAACTAGTTTCAGCCATTTCAAACTGGTTTATGTACACTGAACTTCTGTTCTGTTACAGGTTTAAATCAGTTTCTGATCACTTAAACCAGTTTATGTGTAATGTCTGTCCCCAGCCTTAGAGTCAGTTTGCCACACAGCCAGATCTGAGCATGAATTCAGGCTGCTGCGTGGCTGGATCCAGGTACATGGGGTCAGGCTGGTCAATGGCCCAATCCGGGTGTGTGGAGCTGGGCCAGCATGCTGGATCACACCCATGGGCAGACCCCATGCACTGACCTGGCATGGATCTGGCCTGCAGAGCCGAAAGGTTGGGCACAATTTATACAGCCAGAGGCCCAATTTAGGAAGAGTCTCTATACTGTGGTCCCAACAAGGCAATGGAAATTCCCGACCTTCCAACTGGTCAGAGTCTCTGTATCATGCCTGCCAATCTCTGAACAGATAAAGAGTAGCTTTACATTTAAAACAAATCCTTGGTAGCTTGTTCAGGAAATAGAAGGGTTGATCCTCCCTTCGTTTTCTTGCCCATTATAAACATCAACTGTATCCAAGCCCCACCCCCAACCTTTAAAGCTAAATGCAGAGTGGGCACCTGCAAAATTCAAGTGAACATCTAAAAAAGGTTTGAAACAGGATCTCCTAGTGCAGGAATAAACACCCAGAAAACCTGTCATTACCATGATTAAATGGCATAGTAAGCCACTGACTAGAGCAGGTAAGTCAACCTGTTGGGGCATCAGATAGAATGATGGGAAACCTTATGTCTTGAGGAATGAGAAAATGACCAAGGGAAAAAAGACATTAAGAAACCAAATAAAAACACCTAACCATCCAGAAACTCAAACTCTTCCAGATAAATAAACGAAGGTATGTGCTGCTATAAATGGACTGCAATTCTCCAGAGTGTCAGCAGAGCTCTTGTGGCACAAGGAACAAACTAATTACTTGTCAGCTGTTCTAGTTTGGCCTGGGGTGGATGGCAGCAGTAAGAAGGGAAAGCCGCTACAATTGCATCATGTCCTCAGGCTCATCTGGTCTGGTTTTTTAAAAACTGTTGCTGTTTTATTATTCATTAACATTTGCACTAGCAAATTTCATCTCTTCTCCTCCCACCTCTACCAAGATCCCTAACAGACTCCTAAACAAATAAATAAATAAAGGTTCACGCAGTCAATTTCTTCAAGCAGATGCATCCCCAATGCTGTTTCTCTTCAAGTCATCTCTGCAGCATTTCTCAGTGGCTGCAGTGATACATTATGAAGAATATCATCAACAATCTGAAGGTGAGCAAGAGCTTAGGACTACTTTCATCTTCAAAAATGCAGAGAGTAAATCGACATCTTTGGTCAAATCTCAAATCTCAATGGATTGACCACACAAGATGGTCATCTCAGAGTAAACCAATTCCATTGTATTAATAAAGAGCAGCCAAATCACTTCTTGCAGTATATTTTGTGGTAATACAAATACTTCCAGTGAGCAGCTGACAAAAATGCCAGGTGCAGGGAAAGAACAGCTTACATACATGAAATTAAGCTTTAACTGTTAAAAAGACTTATGTGACTATGTACGGTTATGTCTGGGGGACAGAGCCTTCCCATTGTCATTTCTGGATGTTTCACTACCTTGTACTGCCATAGCCACAATTCTCCAGGCAATTGCCTGGCAAATCTACCACTGGCCTATTCCTCTCAGGACCAGATCCCGATTTAGCAATACATATCCCAAGCAGGGCCGACCAGAATCCCATGATCCTTACCAGCATTTCCCAGGTGCTACCAGTCTGAAATGAGAGATTAGAAGCTAAACATAGCCCATGTCCATCTTCTGCATTTGCCAAAGGACCTTTTGGGTGATGAAAGAATACACCTTTTAAAATGTGCAGGATGAAATACTAACTTAGCTCAAGTTTAAAATGTGTATATCACATCCTCAGCATGTATAAACTGTGCGCCTTCATTCATTCATCCTTTCTTGATGGATTCACTCTTCCTTCTTTGTTCTCTCCATATCTCATCCATATTATTGCCATCTCTCTCTAACTCACCCTTAATCTTCCCTTTCCCTCTCCCTCTTCCTCTCTTTATTTCACACACTGCTCTCACACTCTCAATGAGGGAGAGGGAAAGGAAAAGGAAGAAAAAGAGGGAGAGAAAAGAAAACAGAGAAAGGGAATACATTGTGTTACCTGGGGGAAAGGGGGAGCTTTGACATACGTTTCAGGAGGAGTTTCAGCTGACTCAGCCAAAATCCCTTCGGTGGCCCCAGCTGCAGGTTGTTCTCATTTCTCTACAGGCCCAGGCCATCTAGGGTAGTATCAACCTAAACTACTGTTTTCTTCAGTGGGTGCTGGAGTACAGATATGCAAGGCCCTTAGGGCAAATGCAGATGCAACGTAGGCAGGTGGACTATCATCAGAGTCAGTGAAGTTCGAGCTGCTTGTGCAAAGCCTATGTGATTTGCCCTATGTGAGGTTCATGCTATTAGATCCATAAACAGGTCCCACCACCTTCCCATACAGATTTCTACAACCTGGAATCATCCTTGTCTACCTGTCTCCCATTCTGAACAAATATCAAGAAAAGGTGGTCACCGTTAAAAACAGACCTTGCACATACATAGAACACCTTTTTTCCAAAGCTTGTCAAAGTTTTTTAAAAGCATTTTAAGCCTCATAACAACCTTCTAAGTGAGGTAAGTACAGTTGACCCCATTTTACCAACAGGTAAAGTCGAGTCATATACAAGATCACAGAGGTGCTGAGTATGTGGGGGCCTGAGGGCCCTGGTCCCCCTTGGGAAGAGGGCTGTCACCTGAAATGCGTAAAACTTTCCACATGTCCATCATTTTAGGCCTTCCCCCTGCCCCAGCAAAAATAAAAGTCAGTGCCTGTGCAAAATCACATTCAAGTATGACTTTTACTTGAGATACTGAAGCAGAAACCCAAGAAGTCCTGACTCTCAGTTCCATGCTGTAAACTTCTTGTTATAAATACATCCAGCCATTACTACAGTATGTTTTTTTCCAAGTTCAGAAATTATGTCATTCTTGTCTTAAAATGATGAAATAGCTTGATGTGCCAAATTTCCAGAAGACAAGATGTGATAGAAATCTGGTTCAGATGTTGACTAAGCTCTACATTTTGCCCAGAAGAAAACAATACAACAAAAAGACGTGTGCTTCTCAGCTGTTAATTGAAACAACTCATTGAACATAAATATGACCACAGGTTTTTAATGTAGCCTGCCCTGCCCTGCCCAACCAGATGTAAGAACAAATTCTTTTCAAGACTGTCACAAACAACTGTGAAGAATTAGCAGTTTCCCTTGGACGGAAGCAGCAGTTGAGTTAAGGCACAGATGGCAGAGACAGCCTTCATCTGCTCTGTTTACCAGGTGCCTCATTGTCAGTAGCAAGAGAGACCCGTGTTAAGGTTGCACAGTGTCCAGCATTACATGATGAGGTTCTAGAGTTCACATGGTAAAAAAGCTTGGCCATGGCTTGAATCCCTGAGCCCTTGGAGCTACATCAAGCTATCTCATGTAACCCGGTCCTCATTCTTCAGCTCCACACACAATAGTTATATATGGTGATGAAAAGCAAAGCTGCCAAATATATGACTTATCACATAACAATAAAACTATAAAACAACAATGGCAATCAACTTATATACACAAGATTTTTCAAGGCCTTTACAAACTTACAAATTGATATACAAGAGTCAAATTCTTCCCTTAGATATTTGGGCATAGCTCCCATTGACTTCACTGAAAACTGGATAAGTCAGAATAGGCAATATGCACTGGGATAGCTTCATGCAGCTGAAGTGCAACCAATACCAGAGTAAAACAAAGCAGTAACTGAATGCCAACCAGCTTGAGATAGGAAATACTCATTACTAACTGTAGTGCATTTTTAGGGTGCTAAATATATTACCAGTAAAATTTTCTATCTTAGTTTTTCTCTCTCTCTTTTTGACTGAAATCATTTTCCCAGGTGCAGTGCTGCGGCTTCCAAGTTATATCTACTCAAGCAAATCCAAACATTTCACAATCCCTAAGCATATTTCTATAACATCTAAATGTTTAGCCATATTTGATCACTCCCCCTTTAATGCTGATTTTCCTTTTTTTTTGAAGCCCAGTGGACCTGCCAAGCTTCTAACCTCAGAAGACATTTTAATCATTTTTTCTAAGAAAATTAAATCCAGAACAAGTAAACGAAATGACAGGCTAATCTTACTCTTGCTAAGAGTATCCAAATTTCCTGAATCCTAAAATATGAAAATCACCCTTCTTAATATCCGTTTCTTTAAGATATATGATGACTTGATCATCCTCTGAAAAATAGTTATCAGCATTACCCATGTGATAAGAGTTCAACAAGATCTCCACCACTTCTGACTGCACCGATTCACTTACCCTGTAGTAATCAGTGCTGTACACATCTCTGGACATTCCAAAATCTCCAATCTTCACCAGCAGGTTCTCACCAACGAGGCAGTTCCGCGTGGCAAGATCCCGATGCACAAAGTGCTGTGATGCCAAATAAACCATACCAGCTGCAATCTGCTGAGCAATATGTAGCATCTGGGATTGGGTCAACTCAGCTGGACGATTACCTTCAGCCATCAGCACTGCATCTGGTCCATGTGCCCTGCACAGAAATACAGAATGATGAAGCACTGCGTTACTTGTAAGCCAGAATAATGGGGGAATTGGCATTACTGGGACTGAAAGAGTCATTAAAGGTGATGACAAAATTGGCTAAATTCATCTGAGAGGTAGGGACTGGCTAAATTTATGCATCTCCCCTGTTTTTTCTTCACTGTTTTCTTTTTTGTCAGGATGGGAAGGGGAACAGGTGAATATGTTGCTCATGAAAATAAGGAACTGGGTGACTCACAGCCATACATCCCAGTCCTAACCTGTTACTCCTCTGCTATTTTAGTCCAGTGGCCTTTTCTGGTCAATGGCCGCCAGATGTTCAAACTCCTTGGTAGCATGAGAATACTGAAGTCAAGATTCATGTTTAGGCCTCTAGAAATGAATGGCTAAGGCACTGTTGCACTACACTACTTCGTTCTTTTAAATGTCCAATAACCCATCCATGATTTCCAGAGGGAATTATGGCATGAAACACTTACATTTTTTATTTAAGGTGAAGAAGCTAACTGTATTCAGGGGAACAATAAAAGAAACAAATGGAGCAATTTCAGATTTACACCCTTAATCTACCAACCACAGGAAGTGGCTCCATTAATCCCTGATCTACTTTTGTGGCTGGTGTGAATCAGCCTGCCAGAGGATAGTTTACAAGATAAGACATAGATCACAAAACTCATTCCTGTTGACACAGCAGAGCCAGATGAGAAAAACAAGTTTATTTCACTAGTTCTAGGTTAGCTTTGATGTACAGCATACCCTTAGGAAAAGTTGATGTCGACCACTCACCGGATATATTCCTAGACAGTTCTGAGCAGCTATTATATTCATTTCTGCATTTAGAAAGCAGATAATTCACTGTAATGCTATCAGAATAATTATATTATTACTGTATTATGTAGGTTACTGATACTAAACCATTCTCAGGCACTACATATATGTAGATATACATATAGCTTCACTGAAGTAATCTGATACTTTTATTTTATATATACACATACCCAATCACATGCACATGCATTGACAACTATATGCACTCATACCTGCACATTTAGTTTCAGAGTAATTTCATAGATGTGTGTGTGGGGCGGGGGGAGGTACACATGCTTGTGTGTGTACATTTATTTTTAAGGAAGTTACAATGTGCTAACTACCCCAAGTGCTCTTAAATACAAAAGAAGGCATAATGCCTACCTAAAGAGTATAGAATTTAATCTAGTTTGACAGATAGGCAGGTAGATACCACTGCTATATACTACATACGTATATTGTATATATGACACACACTACTTTAGGGCAAATATTACTAGCCATTCATCCCTAATAGCAAATTGAGGCAAGTTAAGGAGGTCATTTTATCCCACCCATTCCCCATGCAATATATGATTTGATGTTCTGCACATTCCTTCTCCCTCACCCCCCGCCTGCACCATTCATTTTTCGAAAAACATTGTTTTCCCTCTGCACCTATCAATTTGATCTTCCAAACAGCCTGCCCCTACTACTCATTCTTTAAAGCCTATTTTTAAACAACCATCCAGTGATGACCATTATTTGTCCAAAGAACCACTTCCTCACCCCAAAGCACTTTTCTGATACACATGGACTATGTGTAACCCTAATGTGCCCTTAGGAAAGTCTGGAAAAGCATTGCAAATTAAATAAAATCTGTAAGATCAAGTTTGGAAACTATCTATTAGAAATACCTTATAAAAATGCCCTGGGGGAAAAAAATGAGAGATCGGGGTGATAAATGAAGGAAGGTTTGCTATTTCCCTGATATTGCAGTTGGCACTAGGCAGAAAAGGCACTATTCTGTCACAGAGCTGAGCAATTGTGCAACTGGTGGTGGTTGAAGAAATAAAAGCAGGATGTGAAGTCCTGGACTAACCCTAAATGTGATTTCTTAATGAAAAGCATTGTGCATCCTCATAACAGATTTTTTAATAGCCTGCTGCTCACACAAGAAGCTGCAAGTCTCTCTTAATTTAGAAAACTACTCATCCTCCACCAGCATCCTTGAGAAGATATTTCTTTTCTAATTAAACTTTTGCTTTTTAAAAAATGTTCGACCCTTCTTGTTCATCTACCTCATTTCCTCTGTAAATCATGAACTCCTTATCTTCAGCAATACACAGCTGCAGGAGACAGTAACTTCCACTGCAACTCTTTCTAATCCACCTCAGTCTTCCTACGCCTGAATGATGTGCATAGGGAAGTTTTTGACCTTCAGGATGTCACCCTAGCTCTGAAACACAACACCATGCTGCAGCAAGCAGCCACGCTCAGTCTGGTCCAAGACTGATTAAATGCTGGATTAGATTTCCCCTGATGGCCGTGGGTGGCGCTGCAGGGTAAGAAATAGATACTCTCTTATAGGCCATTTATATTGTTGATCTGCTGCATAAGCTGTGGTAAATGTGAGAAGAATGACAAATTTAAACTCAGGTCAAACAGCTATTCTAGCATACTAATTTTATGTTTTAAATACAAGGGATGATTAAGAAAAAATAAAAGATCCAATATAGGATTCAGAACTTAGCAGTTATAAAACAACTTCTAACCAGAAAATAAATTCATCAATTGCAATTCTGTATGATTTCAATGCTCTTGAAAGACACTGGATGGAGGCTACAGTTCTCTGTTGATCCACAAATGAGGTCCAGCATGGCAGCTCCTGAACCTCAAAGTCCCAGCTCTGTTTTAACAAGGCAGTTAAACCAGAAGCTGGAGACAGTCACTATAGGTGAAGCAGAGTTCATCCTCCCTGCCCCATTCTAAAATGCCAGTTAATGTCATTTGCTTTTACAAGGCAAGTATTTGCCCATGGGGAATAGGTATGAAATCAGACTCATTTCCTATGAACTATCAAAGAAGTAGCAAATGGTTACACTGTCAGTCACTGTCAGTGCAGGATGGATACAAAATTGGAACTAATTTAATGCTAGTTATGATAGCTAACCATCACAGCTATAACGATAGCTAACGTGGCACTCAAGCATTGGCATATCAGTGACTCTGCCTGTATAGGAAAATATGCTTTAAAAATATATATACCTCAGGAATTTGTTGAGATCTCCATGCTTCATATACTCAAAGACCATGATGAGTGGATCGCCCTCTATGCAAACTCCATAAAACTTCACTATGTGGTCATGCTGTAGATTAGTCAGCAACTCTGCCTCTCGGTGGAAGTCTTTCCGAGCATTATCACTAGCGTCTTTTAGTGTCTAGAGATGGAAGAGAAAAATTCATGTCAAAAGCAAAAGAACATATTGGGGAAAGATGAGCATCTTACACTGTGTAAAAGACAGAAAAAAGACATTTTTGTGGCTGCTTTAGATCTGTAAACATGAAATCTGGGGCCAAATACAAGCCTATGATTTACAGTATTTTTTTCTGCTACATTTTATCCTATATTACTATTTATTTCTATTGTGGTATGCCTAAGGAACCCCAGTTCTGGAGCAGAAACCCATTGTGCTAGATCCTGTACAGTAACACAAAATAAAAAGATAATCCTTGTTCTGAAGAGCTTATTGGTAGACAAAGGGCCTGAGTCTCTTCTCATTTATGCCAGTGCCAGGGCTGTCCCTGGGGGGGGGGCGAATTGGGGTGACCATACCGGGCCCTGTGCTTTGTGGGGCCCTGCGGAGCTGGGTGCAGCAGTGGCTCCACGTCCAGCCACTCACTAACCAACCCCCCCCCGATAGCAGCAACAGCTTCTTTGGGTCCAGGGTCCGTGAGTTTGGAGCAGGGGCAGGGCTCAACACCCTGCTTGGGCTGGTTCTGGCCAGTGCTAAACACCAATCTTGTATAGCTTCAATCCGTGTTTTGTTAGTTCTGTGAAGTGATGGATGGTATTGCAATACTCAGCAAAACTCTACATCCTTTTATTATTTTTATGGCTGTTGACCCTGAAGTATTATTTGGCAGATGTATAGGAGGACAAGTCCCTACTGCAGAGCTTACAATCTAGGACCTTGTTTAAATGTTTGCTGTGAGTTCAGTGTTCAAATGCTTGAAGTTAAGCACATGCATAACTCTTTGAAGTTCAGACAATATAGAAACAAAGGACAGAGGCAGGATGCTGACAGGGTATGAGACTTATCTTTTAAAATCTCCTTTTCTTTTGCATTTTTAGATTTTGCATGCTTTTCTTTAATGGGAAGTATGTCAAAACTGGATTAAAAGGAAGCCTTGGCACTTTGGGCATGGAGATGTTCCTTCCCCACATTGCTGTTTATAAGAAAATGAATTATTTGCCATAAGAGGTTAAATCTCACATAAAGTAAATAAGTATTAGTTGTTTATATCATATTGTTAAAAATGCAACATAATTACAATTGGTTGACCTGTGCATAAAATATATAACATTCCTAGAATCTGGTGGCCATGTTCTACATTGCAATTAGAATCAATGAGAAAGAGGATGTGGCACAAATACAGTAACTGCTTGCAATAAAAAAAGGGAAGGTTTACTGAACATTTTGCCATGCTATTGTTAGTGTTCATAAGGAAAGTAGGGAGTAAAGGAAGTAACAGACTAATAGGCGGGCTGATCCTATGCAAGCTTCTTTCTTCTAAGAGCTCTGTTAATGTCACTGTTTTTGTTCAGGGCTTTTCTTCAGTAACAGAGACTGACAATTATGTCCACCTTTTCTAATATTATGTGAAATGCTTGCATGAATGAGGACTTAAATATAACCACCAAAGACCGAACATATTTCACTTGTGAATATTTAATCTATGTCTCCAGAAGCAAACAACTATCATAATCAGGACCAGATGCAGAGGGTACATGGAATGGGGACAACTGGACAGCAACTTCAATACACTACAAAGTTGGGTACTCCTTTCTGCATGGATTCCACAGTCTTCAGATTCCATGGGCCCTTGACATGTTCTTCTATTACCTCACTAATAACTCCTGTGTGTTTCCCTTCCACAGATTTTACCAACAATATGGTGTAATATGGTGTTTAGTGGCTGAGCTAGTCTTTACATTCCCTTGTATCAAGATAAGCTTAGGCTCTATCCAACCATGTCCGAATGCAACCATGTTAGGGGACTAACTGTCTAGAAACACAGTCAAAGTCTAGTCTACACTCCGTCATAGAATGACAGAGGCAACTGTGTTCAAAGTTGGTTTCCTTGGCTTCTAACCATTTGACTAATTTTTACCTATAACGGTTCTGTAAAAATAGTTCATTGTAAAAATAGCTTTTAAAAGGAAGCAAATGTGAGAATAACTTTAAAATTGAAATTGGGTGGGATGTATGTTCTCTCTCTCAACAAATAACTTTCCCCAGAAAGTCTGCAAAACTGCTGACAGCTTTGCTCTGGGAAGATGACATATTGTATATTGCAGAAAGTGTTTTTTATTGCAGAGAAACAGCAAAACTATCATATGGTACAGCAGTTGCTATGGCAATTTTTCTGTCAAACACAGTACAATGAATAATGGCCTAAAACTTTCATTGGGTAAATTGCTGAAACCTGAGAGTTTCTACTAAGCAGTGGTCTTCCAGAAGTCTTATGCCCAATTTCATTGTGTTTCTCCATGTAGCTTAGATAATAAGCAAGCACATTTTACATAGAAAAATACATAGTATTAGGCTTGCTGTCACAGTGAAGGGGTGGGGGGCACAGGACAAAAGTGTCTCACAGAAAAGGAAATAAAGATGTATTAATTGTCATTACTGACAAACAGACCAAATCCCTGAAAGCAAAATTCCTATCAAAGTCAATAGCAGTTTTGTTTGGTTGGTCTCAGTAAGAACTAAGACAACTTTCTTATCCCTGAATGTATTCCGAGAATATGGGCTTCTTGCAGAGATGGTCCATGGTAACTGGAGGAGCAGGAATCTTCCCCTTGGGCAGATCAGTGGCTATTACAGAACCCTCCCTCCCCCGTTTCATTGTGCCCAGCCTCATTACAGGTAGGAGTTATTGGAGCACTGACCACATCTTTTCCTCTCCTTTAGTACAACTTAAGCCCCAATCACCCAGCAGCTTGGAAACTGCCCATAGTTCTGTACTCCATGGTGCACAGGGAGAACAGAACCAACTGCAAGAGCTCTTGGTTTCCTACTCCATCCTGCATTGCTGTAATGTCTGCCCACCAAAACAAGGAAGAGAGGATTTACCTTCTGAATGAGGACAGAAGGATTTGGGCTTTCATTATCAAAATTAACAGAGTTAATAATGCACCTCTAAAGATGCATGTCCTTCACAGTGCACTGGACTTTCACCGCATCCTTATTTTCCTTATTAATAGTGTTCTCCTTCCTTTCCTATTCCTAGCAAAGTACTGAATTTAAGGAAAAGTATGATACAGATTAAACATCTCTCTGAGCTGAAAAGATCTGATTACATGAAAACTCTCAATTTTCATTTGAAAATGTTGTACTTGTGAACACCGAATGGTCAGAATTTCTAAATGGAGCAAAAATCCACAAAATGAGACAAGTTGTGTTCCACTGTCCTGGATGCAGGACCAGGACACAGACACAGACTTGTACACTACAGAAATGTCTTCCATCTGACTCAGGCACAATCAGATGAATTCAAGACTGTGCCCAAGGCCTCAATTCCAGGGCAATGATTATGAAGCCTACTGTAACTTAAAGTCTGTGGTAGCTTCTGTGTAGCAGCAACATAGCCTGCAGGGGAACACGACTCCAAATACTAATTGAAATTTGCCCTGCAGCAAGGGACCCATTAACTCACTTTGGGTGAAAATGTCATACACGTTTGCTTTTGCCCCTGAAGTCCTAAGCACCACTTAAATCTCATGTAAACCTTTTGGGGAACATGATTTGGCCCCGCAAAAATACCATACTTACTCACATACAACACACGCCAGAATAAAGTATGCATCTTGACTTTGAGAGGCAGAATGAGTTAAAAAAGAGTTTTCCTTGTAGTAAATAACTGAGGTCCCTGCTACACGTTACATATATTATGCAATTAACTGATAATAATGTAATAAATTTAGACCAGTCACATATCCAAAGTAAGACTGGCCACAAGTGCAAAGTAATTATCTGGTTAATTCCACAATAAATTTACACCAGCCACACATGTAAAGTAATTAGCACATGACCAGAATGACTATCCAGCTAAGCCAGTCATAAAGTTAGTGTTTGAAAATGTGTAACAACTCTATAGCTGGTTTCTATTCAGCTTTATTTGTATGTGTAGCAGGGCCCTGAGTAGCAGCAGGCAGGGAGCCACGACTGATCACTGTTCTGCTCCCTGTGAGTCCCACACAGATTTTACTTTTGCTTTTGCCCATTAACTGCTCTTACCATATTTCCTGCATATAATATGTACTGCAATTTCTATCAGCTGTCTCTTACATGTGTGTTGTATATGAGAACACATGGTAGTTTTAGTAGGCCTGGCACCACCCAAAATAAACCTAATTGCTTAGTTGTGATTTTTTCAAATATGGGAAACACAGTTTGTGTGCATTATGCCTGATTTTATGGACACCTAGATTTTTTCTGAATTGCTTGTCTTCTATACAATTTTCATTAGCAATGTAAATATATAAAATATTTGTCAATTCAAAAAAGAAAATGCTATATTTTGAGTCAGACCCAATTCCTTTTATAAGGTGAAATTACAGCGATTTCTTAACATGCATGCACAATACTGTTATGGTTGCCAGGCAACCAGCAGAAGGCATGTCAAAGATCCAGACAAGCCTCCAACGAATGAAAAGAAGATCTGACAATAATTCCACACAGGTGAGAAGATGCTCACCCCTGGGCCAGCTTGCTCAGCTTCTTTGCTTCCTAAATCCTCCTGAGATGGACTCATTCCTCTAAATTATTCACCTCTCTGAATGCTAGGAATATTGCTATCAATCAGGGAACCTAGCTTAGCCAGTTTCATTGGCTACACAATCTTGCTTCCAGTGCAGTCAATAGGTATTTTCGCCTTTGATGTTAATGCGAGCAGGACTGTATTCTCTAATTTGTAAGGAGGGAAAGAGCTCATTTTAATAGGGACACAGGGACTGCCATATTTGATCAAAATATTAGCCTGCTTAGCACAGTGTTCCCTGATTGACAATATCCATCAAAAGATATTTCACAGGAAAGGTGTTAGAATTCCAAAATGGGCATGTAGAGAATAATCTATTCAAAGAAGTTCTTTCTTATCCACTCAGGTGTTAGTTTATGCCATGAAAATAAGGATTTATTGTCCTTCCTTGGCT